CGAGGTGTTACCCCGCTGCTTGCAGCGGCCGCTCCGCGTTTGCACGGGGCGGGGTGCAGCAGCGCTGCGGGTTTGCAGGAGGCTGGGCCTTGCTCTGGCGCTTCCACGGCTGCTGTCTGTGCAACGAAGCACCCGCGTAAGCCGGCCCGGCGTTTTGCACGGTGCCACGCGTGCCCCCGACGTGAGGTTCGAAGGGTGGAGGGTCTCGCTTGCGCGTACACGTGTAGCATGAGTGCATCGTGCTGCGCCATGAATAAATAAAGTGTCGCTCAGGGCCTCACCATCCCCAGTTCGAGCTGTAAGGGAGAGCTGGGTTATGCGTGCTGCAGCCCTGCCCCTTCGACCAACGGACGGAGCGGGACCTCGCTTGGGACCCCTGCAGCAAGAGCAGAGCGGTGCTGAGCACAGGGCCCTTGGGACAGCACCGGGGACCCGGATAACCCGCTCTCTGTGAGGGGCCCAGGGGTGCCCACGGGTCTGGGGTGCTCCTGGGTGAGCACTGGACAAATTGTCAGAGGGGCTACACTGGAAACAGGCAGCCACGCGCGGGCAGGCTGTATTGCTCCACCAAGGCCATTTCCCCACCAGTTTCCCACCGGAGCTGTTGGGAACCCCTTGCTCACCGAGCTGAAGCCCCCAGGCCCGGCCAGACCCCGCATCCCCCAGCTGCGGGGACACGGGGACCCTCACTGCGGCGCTGGCCGGGGCCAGGACAGCCCGGCTCCGTCCCACCAGCAAAACCCCCTAAATACCAGCAACGCGTCCTCAGCTGGAGGGGGCCCACGCTGCTCATTGCTCAGCAAGCAGCTGTGTAAAGGTGGAAGCAAGCAGGGCGGGGCGAGGGAAGGCTTTATTTAAAAAAGCAAGGGCCACGTATGAAAAGCTGCCAAAACTGTATTTGCCCAGGCTGTCTCCTTGCTGCTCGCCCCCGGCCTGCACAATGCTGCTTCTGCAGAGAAAAACAGCAAGGGAACAAGTGGAAGCAGAAGAACGGGAAAAAAATCTATTTAAAATTTCCAGTGCAAATACAGGATCAAATTATCGCTAATGGCTCGCTACCAGTTCTTTTTCACTCTGAAATTTTGAAGAGGGATAAAAAATGAAAGTCTAACCTGCGTGTTTGTTCTAAGAACATGCCTGCCAGGGAGAGATTGTTAAAATATATTATGGAAAGGAGACTAATAAGCTGGAATGTGCAACATGTCTCGTTGGTTAATGGATTGTCGGAGCCTGTTGCTGTCCGCAGACTGCGCTATTTATTATCCATTTATCATGTCTAGTAAGCACAGCTGACAAAACTCCCATTAACCGGGCAGCAAAAAGTCCTGCTTTGCAGGAATTCGGAGGAATCCAGAAATTTCATTTTGCTCAGAGGTGCAGGTGCTCCACGGTGCAAATTGCTCCTGATTTCAGCAGAGCAAAGAGCGGGCAGGCGCTCAGCGATATGGATGAGGATTCATCCTTTACCCGTTTCCATTTCGCCCTGTTCCTTCCATGAAATACCGTCACGCGTTCTTCGGCTCACGTGAGCCGCGTCACGCTGGGTAGTTACCGTATCTTTTCTGCATCTCCTTCATTGATTCGGTGATGGATTTGTTATGTTTATGCAACAGTTTGGGTTTCGCGTACAGTATTGCTTTAGGTTAGGAATCAATTGGACCGAATTGCAAAATACAAAGGCTGGTATTTGAAGCGCTCCTTTATATACACTCTTGCAATCTATATTATGTTTATGGTCTGAATTACTGTTGTCTAAAAGGCATTCAAGCATTTCCTGCATTCATCTTCAAACCTGCTGTGTGTATTTCATTTAAGTACAGGAGGCTTTTACTGTTCCAGGTAAGTACACAGATATTGTCAAGCATGCCATTATAGCAAAGAATTACATACAGCGCCAAATAGGCGGCATTTAGGTATCTCTGCGAAGATGAGGGAGCGCTTTAAGATTTCAAACCAAATTAGAAAACAACATTACTGCTCCTTACCGGATCTGGCTTCACAGTGGGATCTGTCGTTATCTTGACAATGACTCCCTTCAAAAATAAAGTTTATTTATCAACGAGGAGTTATGTCAGCAGCGAGTTAAAGCTTGTGGAAACGTACAACAAAACCAAGTGTACAACAAAACGTACAACAAAACCAACTGTACAACAAAACAAACCCCTTTCTTTCAGTCACTATTTTAGCTTATACCCGAAGTCCACTGGCAGGAAAAAAAGAGCTCACATTTTAGCTGAAGACTTTCTCTAATCGAGCAAGTGATTTGCACTCATTTCCCTCAGTTTTCACTTTGGCATTACTGACTTTTCTTGAGGTAATAAGCCCAAGGATGCGGCTGGATGGAGATGGGGGGTGAATCCCGTCCCATCCATGGACCAAAAATATCGCTGTGTTCTGTAGCACCTTCAGCCCCGTCCCCGAGCCCAGAGGACGCTCTCCACCCCATGCCTGCAGAGGCATTCCCCACGTGACAATTGCAGGCGCCCTCACCTCCATCAGGATGGCAACAGCCCAAAGAAAGTCTGAAGCGATTTTCCTGAGCGCTGCGCGTCCACGCGACTTGTCCTTTTAACGTCCGAGGGTAGCAAGTGCAGGTTTGTCCTGGAGGAGAAAGCAGATGACTTGCTCCAAGATCAGAGGCAAAGTCACTGGGTTAGATGTCTGCCAGCAGATGTAGTAAGAGCCAAGTCGTTGTCTCATATCCAGGATGATAATTTCCCTTGTTACAACTGCTCACACCGTAAAAATTTCACTTAATCATCTACCTGCCTCAAGCCTATAAGTAATGAGAGGCAGGATTGCGTGTAGCTGATTTTATCAAATGCTCTTATGAAGTTCTCCACTGGGAAAACCCTGAATCAATTAAAACGCCAAGGAGAGACGTAGGAGAGGGATTCGTACTCCCCAGTAGACACTCACCAGGTTATCAACACATCTCACTTACTCTTCCATTGCGGATGGGATGGATGAGCTCCATGGGGACAAGGTCAGCTGAGCCATGCCTATAGCAGAGGAAATCACCGTGGGGCAGGGGAGAAAAGAAAAAACCTGGAGCATCTGTTGACACATCTGTGTGTTTTCGGCACATACCTGACAGCCTACATGGGCATGTTTGGCCTGGCTTTCTCATCCCTGCTGTGATCCCGTTGTGCTGACTATGGCCCAGCTGCATCGCTTGAGATCTCACGTGTCCTGCTGATACCGAGAGCTGCAGGCAATGATGGCTTCTCGCTGTCAAAATGACCCTTTCCATCTAATTCTGCACCCTGCAGAAGTTGCATTTTCAGGCTTTCATAACCATTTGTGGAGGAGAAGAAGGGAGAAGCTCTTCACTATATAACAGTACTCGCATGTTATCTGATGGAAAAAAGAAAAGTGCATTTGCCATGGGGCACTGGGAGAAATGATGGATTGCCAGGTAGCAGACATCCCTCTCCTCTTTGGCAGGATATTGTATTCCAGGTGCCATACAGGAATGCTGATAGATCCATAAAGCATTAGCCTTTTCCTCACCCCAAAAAGCAGTGGCTAATAAATCACTAGCTCTCTGGAGTTTGTTGGGAGCAGATCACACAGCAGAAGCAGCGAAGCCTTCAGAGAAACGCATCACTTAAAGACACTGCAGATGCCAATAGAGCTGTACATCAAGAATAACCGGACAAATCACTTTACCTATCCAAAAATGAGACACTTCAGAACTGGAACTTTTTTTGCAAGTGTGTGCCAGTTTCAGTCACATTCACATCAGAAATGCCTCCCAGAGCCATGGAAAATCTCTGCACTCCAGTCCTGGGGGATCCCTCCCTTTTTTTACAGAGAGTTTGAAAAGTCTTCTCTCCCACTATAGGACAGAAAACTTTCTGAAATTGCAGAATATTTCACAAGACAAAATTCCAGCCAGACCCAAACCTTTCCAAACCAGCTCTTAACTGTGGATAAGAAACAGGTTTTGCAGGGGGCAGCTAGATTTACAGCTAACTGTCCAGTTATCTAAAGAGTTTTGCATCCTTTGTAAAACTAAAAATGCACAGACACAGCAGACGTGGCTCAAAAGCTCTTTCATGCACCCCACATCTCTGGAGGACCCAAAGCACAGCGTGAAAGGCTGAAACACGCAGTGTGCCGGAGTTTGGGGCATGCTGGTCATGGGACACGGCCGTCAGGGAGGAAGGATGCTCGTAGCACTCCTCACCACTGCCCAAGCTGCAACACCATCTCTTCTCCAGCTCACAGTGAGCGGGGCTGAACGCTAGCAGAGCTCCTGAGTGCAAGAGAATCGCTTGAGACGCAGCTCTACAGAGGGAATCAAAGCAGAAGAGACGGGAGAAAACTATTCACCGTGCACTGCTGCCTCTGCTGGGAGCACAGGGCAGACATTTCTCAAGCTGATATTTTCATTTATCATCTCCTGGTGATTAATCAACTGAAGAGACACCACCGGGAGACAGCCCGAAAGGGATCAGCTCAGAGCGTTCACCTATGAAAATAAAGTGCTGCCGACAATTACCAACACAGGGCTGTCACACCATGGGCATCCCGCTCGCGGGGGGAACTGGGACGTAAAATAAAGGGCACTGCTGCAAGCTAGCCCTGCACAGAGCAAGGAGACTGACAGCTTCGGTGCACGCATGGGAGGCACTCGGGGTTTGACTCTGGAGAGATGCTGCACTCCTGATTCCCCGCCCCAGCACAGAGTGAGCTCTGCAAGCAGCTGAAGCAACAGGCGATGTGGTGCACAGTGCATGGTCTAAACACAAAGCAAGATTGGATCTTTGCAGACCAGGCAGCCCGAGTAAGAGTCATGTGGCTGCACACACTGATGAAGTCCCGTTGTACGATGCGGAAAGCACGCAAGCTTTGAGATGGGATTTACAGCAGAACCAACAGAAGTTATATTGAATATATAAATTGCTCCCACTCCAAAGGAGGCCACGATGTATTCAGGTGCCTTTCCAGGAGTGCTTTTTTCCTGTGCAGTGGCAGCACAGTAAAACCTGATTTATGCCTTATTAAATTATTTTAATGCTTAATATTGTATGCAAAAAATCTGTGAAGAGATATATTAGAGGAGTATTTCTGCGAGGCTCATGCAGAAGCTGTCTCCAATCGCATGGTAATGAGGCTCTTCCAAGGTATCAGCAGCGTTAGACTGCTCCTCAAACACCACTTTGCAGGTAGAAGAGTGGATGGGTGACCTAGTGGCAATTTTTATACCCAATAACTCAAGAAATTTTAGGG